GCCTTGGAGGGGGGGGGGCTCAGGAGTAACGAGCCAGAACAACAAAAAATACTGATAGTGTGGTATTTTTATTATCCACCAAGATATAATAGATACAACATCAGATATGCTACTCACATGCTGTAGTAGGTAGGTAGCTAGGTAGTAGCAAAAATCCAAAATGGCCACCGGCTGTCCACAGGGGCCGTGTAGTGTGACGTCACAGGGTATATAGGGCACCTCCCTAACACGTTTTGTGCGCTTGCACGTTGTCAAATTCTTCTGCACCATTGTTCTGCTCTCGCACCCAACCCTTATGATTCTACTGCAAAGGGAAATAAATTATTCAGAAAGAACATAAGACCAAAGTATACATATAACATAAGAAAGACTATAATAAGTACATAATAAGGACTGTCTGCCTTAAAGCAGCCAATCAAATTTAAACTTTCAGGATCATGCTGTTCTTTCCCATGGCAGCTTTAAATTTGATTGGTTGCTCTGCAACAATACTTATTTCTGATTTTTGGATGTGTTAGGCCCATTATGCCTTTACATTGATTGAAAATAATAGCATAAGCTGAAATATCACCCTTTAGTCTCAACACTATAGTTTTTCCATTAACACACTCTTTTGTATCAAGGCACATTTCAGCTCCATCAGACCATCATTCAGTACAAACAAAGCAGCAGACCATACATTGGTTATCCTGCGTTTCAGCCCACAACAGAACAATGAAATGATGACATCACCTGTCAGATCCACTTTTATAAAGACAACAATTATTACAAGGTCTCAGTCACATATTCATATAATTATGGCTATAACAAAGTATGCTTATGTTGGCAAGGAGAATAAACGTTGTCTAGAGACTGGAAATATCTCTATATTTACTTCATAGCTGATCAGCTTCTCGTACATGTTTTTTTCCTTAAAGGGCCTTAGTATAGCCTCCATAGTACTCTCACCTAAACTAACCTAGAACCCCCACCCAGCATGACAGCCGGGGTCTCCTCTGAGTGAAAATCTTCTTCAGCATTGGACACGCCAGAGCAGTGTTTCAACATAGACTTGAATACAACGTAATGCATCTCACTACTACTATGTGGTTGTCACTGCATAGACGCAGTATCCCATAGTATATGACCATACATACCAATATTGTTTAAAGGCAATACCAAAAAAAATTTCTCCTGCGCTCCGGGACCCAGGCCGGTGGCGAGTAGATGGAATTAAAACCTCCAGAGAAGCAACCACCGGAGTATCCAAGGTCGTGCAGCTCCAAACCAAGGCTAGGATAAGTTCACCTTCTGGACAAAAAAAAATAAATGCACATTTTTTTTTTGCAAGTACAAAAAATTGCATTTAGTATTTTTGACTGCAGGAGCCTGGAGAGCATTGCACCAGTGATTCAGGAGATCACTGATGCCATGCAGGTCTCCTGCAGACCTGTCAGTATATCTGCTTGCCCATAAAGGATGTATTTTTACTGACAGGAAGCTGCACAGCGCCATGGTAGTTCATTGAGAACTACAAGCCGACAGCCATTAAGGCTGTGGGGACTTGTAGTTCATTTATTCACAGAACTCTGTGAATTAATGACATAGCCATGTGGGCACAGCTATACACGGTTGTGCTGTTTTTAAAAAGTGTAGTGCACTAAATCCAACATCTAAATTTTTGAATGGGTCATTTTGAAAGGCCAAATTGAAGAAAAAGTATATGTGAAAAAACACTTTTGGACATATCCTATCATTTTTTGCATTTTTATTCTTCACAGTCTCCATAGCTTGTGGTGTGGCAAGCAGAATGTCCTTTGCTTATCTACTTTGTACTGAAAAAGGTGTCTCTCTTTCTCATTTCAGAATGATGGGAAGTATGTGAATCTGACCATAATGTGTAAGGCTGTGTTTACTAAGTAATGCATACATGTGAACTTTCAGTGAAAAAGTTCCTGTTAAATATTACCCCAGCAAAGTTTACTCTTTATTAGAAATCTCATCACAATAGTTGAATCAACCACAGGGACACAGGGACAATAGCACAATAACCACCCCAGAGAAATGCATACATATCATTGCAATGGAATGGAGACAAGCATGTTCGCAATATGTCAATCACAAGTCTGATATGTTTGATTCTCCCTTCTCACTTATGGATTTCGTTATTTACAGAGAAAAAATATTGCACAACTACAATGTCCTACAATAGAAGTAATTCGTTTGGAACAATGTTTGGTATTTGCACTTTCTATTCTGTTTTTTATCAGAGTAGTAAATAGTTTTGTGGCTACGTTTGATAGATATCAACTTTCCTGGTAGCTTTAAAGTGACCCTGTCACTTACTCTGCTATAACCCTGAAACCAGTCTGTAGGAAAAGAAGAAGAATACCAAACTTTCCAGTAGGCCTTGTGCTGAAAGTTCACTTTCTGGCAGAGCTGCTGCTATCCAACACTTCTGAGTGTGTTGGATAGCAGGTACCCCACTGGCTGATATGTCTTCTACTTCTGTCTTCTGTACTGCAATGAGGGTCTGCAGGAAGAATCATAGTGGCCAACAGGGGGCACGCCATCTAACATAGTTCTAAATTTCAACACAACACCTATGGAGAGGTGAGCATTCATCTTCCCTTGCAGCCTACTTTGATGTTTATTATTATTATTTTTGTTAATATTATTCAGGTTTTATATAGTGCAAACAGTGTGTGCAGAAGTTTACAACATGAGAGCAGACAGTGTAGTTTCAATACAATTCAATACAGGAGAAAACAGAGGGCCCTGCTTCTTAGAGCTTGAAATCTAAAAGCAAGGGTCAAGTTACACAAAAGGTAATAACTGTGGGAAGAGCTGATGAATAAAATAAAAGTAAAGTTGGTAGGCGGAGGCAGGATAGGAAGTTCCATAGAATGGGAGAGGCTCGGGGGAAGTCCCAGAGGCGAGCATGGAAGGAGGTGACAAATAATCTAGAGAGCAAGAAGTCTTGGAAGGAACGAAGGACGGATAGCTTATGTAAAGGTAATGCAATGAGGAGGGATAGATGAGGATGGACACCACTCAAACCGAACCCCAGGAGTCAGAGGAGAATGGAATGTAGTAGGATGGCCCCAGCCGTCACTCTGGCCATGCCCTCTGATGCATTTCACCCCACCCATGGGGGCTTGGTCACAGAGGCTGGGCAATGAAGAGGGAGTCACAGTAGTCCAGGCAAACCAGGGAGTGAATTAGAAGCTTTGTGGTGTAATTGGTTAGGAAGGGGTGTACTGTGGAGGTTGAGGCAGTATGTTTTGCACAATGGTTGCATGTGGAGTCAAGGATAAGCCTAGCACCCTGGCATGCAGGTAGATAGTTGTGCCATCCATCTTGACAGACAAGTGAGGGGGAGGGGCATGTTTTGGATATATTGAGTTTGAGGAAGTGGTATGACATCCAGACTGATATGTCTGTTAGTAAATTAGTGATGTGAGGAGTCTAATGGAGTTATTGAGGGAGAGACTGAAGAAGTACTGTAAGATAGAGAGTGTAGGATAGAGCCAATGGGTGATTGTTGTATTTGAGAGGGAACAGGGTCCAGGGGGCAGACAGTTAGGTAGGCATTAGAAAAAAGTTTATTAACCTCGTCTATAGAAATATAATACAAACTCTAGATATCCCCGCGAAAAGTATCACTCTCACCCTTGAAAGTGCAAACAAAATATACATACAATCTTTTCGATAATCCCTTTACCACCCCCGAACAGTGCACCAACATATATCAGCAAAAGTCCACATATGAGTCCATGTATAGTGCTTTTCAATATATAGTGTTTTCAAACGTTGGAGACTCCTTCACTTTGCTGTTTTTCAATCCAGGAACCTCAAATAAGGAAACCTCGTCTATAGTACCAGGACTGAAAAGGGGAAGTAATGCATGCACCTGTGGACATGGGGTGTTAAGTGGGGGAGGTATCTGTACAGTAGAGATCTCATCACAAATCTTATTTTTGAGGTGTTTGGCAATCTCCTGGGCAGTGAGTGAGGCAATGGAGGACAAAGCCGAGAGGTAATGGCAGAAAAGAGTTGACAGGGACTGGACAAGAAGGTGTTAATGAGAGTGATCAAATAGGTCTGCTAGGCAATGTGGAGTGAGGAATTGCATTTTTGGAGGGCAGATTTATATAAGTTGAAATCTTTCTGAGACTTTGTCTTACGCCACAGATGCTTTACTAAATAAGTGACAAAGGTGGCTTTAAAGAACATAGCTAAGCATTCTTATAAATCATATGGGGACTAAATTACTAAACTTAAGCTCTTTACCCATGTTTCATTAATTTCATGGTACTATACATTCCTATCATAAACCACCTAAATAAAACAATATTTTTTTTTACAAAAACATAAAGGATATCCACTACTTAAACACATATGCTAAAAATAAACATATATCACCAAGACAATACATGAAATTCTCAACCTAGAATTAAAGTACAACTAAAGGCAAAACTTATTTTTTAATTTTTGGACAGAGTGGAAGAGGATTAGAACCCCTGTCAGTTTCTACAGCTGTCTATATCCCCGTTAGGGAGATTCACCCACCTCATTTGTCCTTTTTACCATTATCATTGAAAGTGAAAGTAAAAGAAAATCCCAAATTTTGGGTTGTCTCCAGAAAATTAATAGGTGGGGAAATCTTCCAAAGAAGACACTAGTTCTGGTGACCTGGGGTTCCCCAAGGATTTCCTTTAATTTGCAGGGATTTTCTCTCACTTCCTGCTTGGCTATGAGACAGGAAGAGAAGGGAAATCTCCCCAATGGTAAACATATGGCGAAAAAAAGTTGACAGGGGTTACAACCCTCCCTTGCTCTATCCAAAATGAAAAAAAAAAAAGGTTTTGCCTAGAGTCTACTTTAACTGCCTCCCGCCCACCATATAGTACAATGACGGGCGCAAGGCGGTTCTCTCGTTCTGGGAGAACGTCATATGACATCCTCCCATTCTAACCGCTCATGCGTGGCTCGGGAGCGCGCAGCTCGGCGATCGAAGGTGCGCTCTGTCCCTCGGACACAGCGGATCACCAATCAAAGGAAAGAGCCGAAGATGTTGGCTCCGTCATGTGATCAGCTGTGTCCAATCACAGCTGATCGCATGTAAATATGGAAATGCCGGTTATCGGCATTTCTCTCCCCATGAGCTGTCACGTTGACAGCTCGAGAGGAGAGAAGGTAATCGTCATTCCTCGGAGGGGACATGTACATTGATCATCAGGGCACTGATGATCAGTGTGCCCTGATAATCTCTGTAGCTCCAGCAGTGCCACCTGTCAGTGTCCATCAGTGCCAGCTCTCAGTGCTCATCCATACCACCTGCCAGTGCCCATCAGTGCCACATCAATGCCACATTTCAGTGCCTACCAGTGCACATCAATGCCACATATCAGTGCCCATCTGAGCTGCCTTTCAGTGTCACCCATCAGTGCCAGTCAGTGCCACCTATCAATGCCAGTCAGTGCCACCTATCAGTGCTGCCAATCAGTGCCACCTATCTGTGCCAGTCAGTGCCGCCTATCAGTGTGCATCAGTGCCGCCTATCAGTGCCTGTCAGTGCTGCCTAACAGTGCCAGTCAGTGCCACCTATCAGTGCCAGTCAGTGCCACCAATCAGTGCCATCTATCAGTGCCATATATGAGTGGTGCCCATCAGTGATGCCTGTCAATGCTCATCAGTGCCACCTACCAGTGCCTCCTCATCAGTGCCCATCAGTGCCACCTATCAGTGTCCATCAGTGCAGCCTCATTAGCGCACATCAGTGAAGGAGAAAAATCACTTATTTACAAAATTTTATAACAAAAACTAAGAAAAAACTGTTTTTTTTTCAAAATTTTCAGTGGTTTTAGGTTTGTTTAAGAAAAAATAAAAAACCCAGAGGTGATTAAATACCACGTAAGTGCCCTGTAGGCTAGTGGTGTTAATGTCAAAGCACACTATCACTAATACTGTCTATACACTATAATCTAAACTCACCCAAATATAACAGTAGTATTATGTGTGGAGTTTACAGCCTCTCCTACCTCCTCTGTTGGATCATCGGGCCTACAGATAGATAGATAGATAGATAGATAGATAGATAGATAGATAGATAGATAGATAATAAAGTGGTAGGCAGTGTGGTTTTTTTCTAACAGGAAATTTTGGGGTATAGGCTTGGAAATATGTCTTTTTTAGCATATTTGTATGTAGTCTATATTATGATTTTTTTCTTTTTTGTATTAAAAACTAGTGTTTTATATTTTTAAAAAATATTTTTTTTATATGGGTATATGATTGAAACACAGTATATAGTATATTGAAAGTCCCAATTTCCTTCCTTTTTTGTGTTAAAAGAACAGGTTCACTTTATAATAAAAATTCCTAACCCACTCTTAGTTTCACCCTCTGCTCACCTCTTTCTGAAGGTGGCAGTCTTTCACGGTAACTTTTAATAAACTTATATGGGGCCTTATTGTATCAGTGCAGGTATAGCCTATTCAGGTCAATGGGCTCTGGACAATTTGGGCCCCTGGAAGGGGGAATGTAAGCTTAAGAAAGGTTAGGGAGCTAAGGAAAGTGGGGTTTTGGGGGTATGCAGTATTATTTTAAAGCTGCCCTTTACATTTTTTAATTTAAAATGACTGGGTCAGATGTAAGTAAGTGTTGGGGTTGATTTACTAAAACTGGAGAGTGCAAGATCTGGTGCAGTTGTGCATGATAGCCAATCAGCTTCTAACTTCATCTTGTTCAATTAAGCTTTGACAATAAAACCTGGAAGCTGATTGGTTTCCATGCAGAACTGCATCAGATTTTGCACTCTCTAGTTTTAGTAAATCCAGTTTTTAGTTAAAAAAAACCCCTATGTGTTGTCAGCTTATAATGGGAAATTTGAGGCCAATTGGATTTCTGGCAGGTCAACGGGTATTTTTCTGTACTTGGAGGGTCTTTGCAAGAATAAAACATGGGCAAAAGTGCATGTATTGCAGTGTTGCACTGCATATGTTTTTGTTTATTTTGCTTTTACATACACTTTGGGGCATATTTATAATGCAGTGAATCTTAAATTCACTGTAGGTGAATCTACCCATTGTCTGTGCATTTTTCATGGCAGTGATTGATTCACTAACTGTGAATGTTTGGTGAAAGGCACATTCACTGCTTTATACATAGCCTTGTGTGGCTAAAAGATCTACCTTTTTCCTCCTTCACTAGCACTGACTCGAGGTACAAAACTTCCTTGTAGAGGAGTGTGCCTTGATTACATAACAAAATCTCTTTACTAAAGACAGCACAGACTCAACCTGCCATGTCAGTCAGTTGCTGAACTGCCAGATGCAACCAGCTAATGGAGAGTCGCTCATATGTGCCACTGGAACCTCGCATGCAAAGGAGACTACTAACATTGCAGGCAAAGGAAATTGTCCTGGATTGGAGCTTAAAGTGATTCTAAAGGTTAACATATTATTACACTAAATTACTAAACATGTCATAACTACTTACTCTGTGCAATAGTTTTGCATAGAACAGCTCCGCTTCTCCTCTTCTAGGGTTCCCCATCAATGCTCCTAGCTCCCCCCCCCCCGCTGAGTACCCTCAAAGAAAGCTGCTTTCTATGGGGGCACTTGAGTGTGCTCAATCTAGAGCCAGGCTGTTTGCATCTATTCAGACACACAGCTCGGCCCCACCCCCTGCTCTCTGCTCACTGGTTTTGACTGACAGCAGCAGGAGCCAAGGGCTCTCAGCCACGTTTGTCAGACAGGGTAGAGGGAGAGGAGCTGCTGTAGACTTGCACAGCGCTGAATTGAGATTGGGCTCAGGTGGGTATTTGAAAAGGAAGAGGGGGGGAGCTACTATTAAAAGGTTTTTGTACCTTAACGTGTTACTAAAGTATGTTTAAAAAAATATTACTAAAGTCAATTTTTTAAAAAATAAAATAACAAACATGTTATACTTACCTGCTCCGTACAGTGGTATTGCATGGAGCGGCCTCGATTCTCCTCTTTTTAGGTCCCCTGCCAGCGATCTTGGCTCCGCCTGTTCTTCATGTGTCCCCATAGCATGGGGGCACACGGTGCCCACTCACTCCTGAGCTGTGTGTCTATGGAACTTTCCTAAGCACCTTTTTATTCACATGTTGACATAACCTAAATTAAAGTAGAAGTCTGGGCTAAAACTAATCTTAAAACTGCTCTCACCTCCATTCTAACACTTGCCCAACGGATAAAATTCAAAACACTAACAATAATGTATAAAGCCATTTATAACTCTGCCCCAAATTACATCACCGATCTTGTCTCTAAATATCACCCAAACCGTACTCTCCACTCCTCGCAAGACCTCCTACTCTCTAGCTCCCTTGTCTCCTCCTCCCTTGCTAGTCTCCAGGACTTCTCCAGAGCTTCCCCATCCTCTGGAACTCTCTACCCCAATTTATCAGACTATCGCCTACTCTGCTCACTTTTAGGCAATCTCTGAAAACCTATCTCTTCAGGGAAGCCTATCCTGCCCTCAGCTAATACTGGAATCTTCTACTCTTCCAACCAGTCCATCCCCCATAATTACTACCTTTTGTACCACTAGCCCCTCCCTCCTAGATTGTAAGCTCCAAGGAGCAGGGCCCTCCTATCCCTCTTGTATTGAATTGTATTGTTGCTGTATTGTCTCCAGTTATATTGTAAAGCGCTGAGCAAACTGTTGGCGCTATATAAATCCTGTATAATAATAATAATAATTATACTGTCTTGTAGAAGGAAGATGCATATACTTACCTATTATTAGGCCACTCGGATCCCACCTCGTGATCAGCTTCCCTTTGTCAGCTAGCAGTGGCTTCAGGGGAGAGGAGAGAAAATGGATGGCCCATAGCAAGCCTATAGGAGATGTCACCCCTTAGGCAATTCAGCCATTGTCTATGGAGTATGGGAGGAAACATATGCAAGCAAAGTTAGCACATGCAAACTCTAATCAGATAATGTCCTGACTGGGATAGGTAGAAGTGCTAACCACTAAGCTAAATTGCTTCCATGTGCATACCTGTTTTATGCACATTAACATGCATTATCATGAACATTAACACACAATAAAACAACACTTTGTGTATTCAGATCAATCTAGAGATGGTCAATGAGCACACAGTATGGTATTGAGGAAAGAAAAGAATGCTGTTTTGCATCACAAATCATAATCAGGTGCAGAATGTGTGCTTGCAGCACAGAAATGACACCAGTACATCTAATGAAACCAGTGTAATGGTGTACTCTGACCAATTACCACTGGAAGCTTTCCTTACAAAACCTATTAATCAAACTCCCACATGACTACAAAGAATGTTGCTGCTTTTACAGAAATATGACTTAACTATGACATAATGTACGCCCATAGAAAACTGATGGAAATTGCAGATACTCTCCAGAGCAGCTGACCTGAAAGCATGGGTAACTGAAAATTTTGATAAAAAAGTCATTCACTCTATGCAATTTACTAACACAATACCTCCTGAACTCGAACACATTTTCATCACTTGTTTCATGACAGCAGTTAGGGAGCTACATGAAAAAAGGTGGTATAGTTGAAAATTCAAAGAACAAATGGTTCCAAAGTATGGAAATTTTGACTGCTGTCATGTTCATTTTCAATTTTTACTGATCTACTTCTTTAGAAGGTAGGTCTGCAATCCCAAAAAAAGTGTATATGTAAAACAATAATGTCTGTGTCTCAATAGAGGAGATTTCTCTTCCTTTTCTGTCTGACACCCTGGACAGGAAGTAAGGGGAAATCTTTCTCAAAGAAAAAAAGAAGAAAGATCTAAACCTTCTAGAACAGTAGTTCTCAACCTTCCTAAAGCTGCGACCCTTTTGTTCCTCATGTTGTGGTGACCCCCAACCATAAAATTATTTTTGTTGCTACTTCATAACTGTAATTTTGCAGTGCTCATCAATGCCACCTGCCAGTGCCCATCAGTGCCGCATCAATGCCACATATCAGTGCCTACCAGTGCACATCAATGCCACATATCAGTGCCTATCTGAGCTGCCCTCCAGTGCCACCTATCAGTGTGCCAGTCAGCGCCACCTATCAATGCCAGTCAGTGCCACCTATAAGTGCTGCCAATCAGTGCCGCCTATCAGGACCAGTCAGTGCCGCCTATCAGTGCGCATCAGTGCCCGTCAGTGCTGCCTATCAGTGCCACCTAACAGTGCCACCTAACAATGCCAGTCAGTGCCGCCTATCAATGCCAGTCAGTGCTGCCTATCAGTGCCACCTATCAGTGCCACCTATCAGTGCCATACATGAATGCTGCCTTTCAGTGCCCATTAGTGATGCCTGTCAATGCCCATCAGTGCCACCTACCAGTGCCTCCTCATCAGTGCCCATCAGTGCCACCTATCAGTGCAGCCTATCAGTGCCCATCACTGCAGTCTCATTAGCGCACATCAGTGAAGGAGAAAAATCACTTATTTACAAAAATTTTATAACAAAAACTAAGAAAAAACGGGTGTTTTTTCAAAATTTTCAGTTGTTTTAGGTTTGTGTAGCAAAAATATAAAAACCCAGAGGTGATTAAATACTATAAAGAAAGTTCTGTCTCATAAAAATGATACAAATTTCATATGGGTACAGTGTTGCATGACCGCTCAATTGTCATTCAAAGTGTGACAGAGCTGAAAGCTGAAAAATTGGCCTGGGCAGGAGGGGGGTATAAGTGCCATGTAGGCAAGTGGTTAAAAACAAAAATTAAAAAAAATGTCCCCCGAAGTAGATCCAACATCAATCACGATGCCCGCCACCACTGCCATCTGACTGGCCTGACAGTTTTTAAA